GGGCGCTGGGGACTCCCCTCTCCACACACATCCCCCGCCCCCCGCCCCAGGTGATGCTCTCTCTGCCCCAAACACTGTCCCTGCGTCCACCAGGCTGTGGGCTCCTCCAGCCAAAGGGCACCGTCCCCCCAGGAGGTACAGCGCTGGGTAACAGCCGGGCATAGAGGACCTTGCTCAGTCCCCTCTTCTTCCTCATGGGAAGGGGCTTAAGGTGGGCTCAGACTCCCCTCCTAAGGACAAGGCTGGGGTTGAGCCACTGCGTGGACCGATCCTGCGCTCTCACGAAACGCCTGGTGACACCTCAGCTGCCTCCCACACCACGAGCCACTGCCCGCCCGCTGTGTCCCACCCCGGTTAGCCTGACCTCTCCTTTCCCAGGCACTTTCTACAAATGGCTCAACCAGGGATTAAGTTTAGCAGCCACCCACCAACCCTGCTGCCCAGAGCCATTGCCGTTTTTCTTACGTGGAAAACTTGGTAAGAGAAGAGGAAGCACGACTTCCCCTGGCAGAGAGCAGCCGGGCTGCGGCAAGGCCACAGCAGCCCCATTTCCCTGTCGGTAACTCAGCAATAACCCACCCTCCCGCCACATGGTTGCTTGCAGGCATGTGTTTGCAAGTCCCAAAACGTGCGGTGCAGCTGAAGGGTGCATGCGCCCCTCGGCCCCCTGAGCGGCTGCTGCTCCCGAAACCTGCACCTTCCCGCTGCCTTCTGCGCAGAGGAGCCGCCCCGGGAGCAGGAGCCACCCTGGTGAGTGTGGGAGAGGAGCTCCAGACACCCACCACCTCGCCCAGGCTGGGGTGCAGGTTATGCAACTGGAGGAGCAGTATTGCACACTGGGACTTGTAGTCTCAGGGGAATCTCATCTTCCTATGCGTTGAATCGCGCTCCAGGCAGCCTCCTCGCAGACCCAGGGTCTCTCCTCGCCGTTCAGCACATCGGTGCAGGAGCAGCACTCCAGAACTTTGCTCCCGAGCCAGTTGCGCTCCCAAAGCTGCCCCCGGCATTTCTGCCCGCTGGCGGACAGTGGGCCTGGCCCTCCCTCTCCCGGCGGCCCTCACGGCCGAACGCACAGACGGACGGTGATGGGAACAACGCCGGCCAGCACGGCGGGCATCAGGCCAGCGTCTCAGCTGCAGCCGCCTCCAGCAGCCTTGGTGGGGGCTGATTGCTCCTGGGCCCCGGGGCGAGCCGGTACACACCCCACCGGGCCACCTTCTGCACAGATGGGGCGACGGAGTCGGGCACAGGATACTTTAGGCTCCATAACGGGAACAGATTTTTCCAGAGGAGTTCAACAGTTGGCATTTCTAGGAATGAGGGTAACTTCTAAAGAAGCCAGCTCACTGTTGGAAGATACTTCATGGAAATCTTTTCCTACAGATCGGGTCTTCTCAGTATGCTCAGATTCAGTTTAAAAAATGAATCTAAAAGCAGCATTGCTGCAGTTTCACAAATTTCAGTGCCAAATTTATGTTTTACAGCCAGGGCTTATCTTTCTATAGGACTTTCTCCCACTAGGAAGCTTCACACCAATGAGGAAACACCAGCTCCACAGGAACCCGTCCTACTGACACACACTAAATCCCAATATTTATTTCTATTCTGTTTCAGCGGTGGAAGTTCTTGATGTAAATGGGAACAGAAGAGGTCCGTAAAACCCAACTACAGTGATGTCTGTCCAGCCTCCCCTGGGAAACAGTGAGTCAGACTTGTGAAAATGAGAAAGAAGTCCAAGACTAGAAAAAGTGTATGCTGGGACAAGCCTGAAAGCTGGTGTTGTGAACACCGCTCCTCACCAACAGCCTCTGCAGCATGACTGTCTTTTATGTAACTCAAGTTACAAAGAGAGTTCAAGAGACTTATTAATAAAAATATGTATCATGGCACATGCTACTTGTCAGTTGATTCTGATCTGTTTTCGGTTCAAACACTTTCCCTGTTATTTTTTCTCTGTAACACATGAAACCTCATTATGGCAAAATCCAAACAACATTCAAAGAAAATTTTTCTGGTTTTCCAGTCCATTCCTATTTACAGTCTAGTGAAAACTGTTTAAAGTGCAATTCTGTCTGTCTTTCCAGTCGACATTCTTTCCATTCCAGTCCCGCTTCCTGCAGTTTCCTCGTGTGGCTTTTGCTTTGCACCGCAATTGTCTGAATTGAGATGCAATGCGCTCAGTAGAAACTGTGTTTGCAAACACAGTTTAAAACACAACATCCCCCAAACAACTATCTGAAGGCGGCGGGGGAAAAAATGGGCTTTGCCATTAGCTCATACCACTCCAAGAAGTCTGGGGATCAGAGGGCAGTAGTGCCGACATCAAGGCACTTGACAATTGAGCAATGGTTTACAAAGAGTTAATCATCTAAAAGGTTTCAGCGAGCATTCTGGAGACAGCTCAGAAAAACAGAGCTGTAAATAGAAGTGGAAACACAAGAAACACAAGACAGAGAGGTGGGCTGGGACAGAGAAGGGCCATGGGCAGCACCGGGGTTCAAATATGTGAACGGAAACATCTAAGGGCTGGAAGGACACAATCTGGAAGCAGTGGAGGGTGAGGAAGAGAAGGCTGCAGCAGTGAAAATATTCCAGGAATGGTGGAAATGGGGTAAGGGAACCAGATTTATTAACGGGACTTTCCTACCATTACTCCTCCATTACGCAATATTTAGATCTTGGCTCACGCAATTCAAACAAACTCCAAATTTTTAAATCCCTTATCAAGCCCACAGGAGTCTCTTGGAATCCTTGCGATAGGGAAGGCACTGGTGTCTCACACAGCTCTAAGGACACCGTGGCACCACGTGGATCTCACCACAAGACAAAGCAGACAATATCAGGAGGGAAGTATGTGTGATTGTCCACATCCATGGCAAGCATTAGCCCTGGAAGAGCCCAGGATCTCTCATGCCCTCTCCAAGTCCGAGTCCTGTCAGCAGAAATGAGTATTTCTTCCTCATCAGACAGAAAATGCTCCTTCCTCCCAAGTCAGCCAGGTTGTCACCGAGGTCTGTGTTCTGGCTGCATGCCGAGATGCCGCAGGGCACCTGCTCCTCAGCCCTAGTCTCTGCCCTCAGTCCTGGCAGTGCATGAGCACACACCAACATAACACCAGAAATTTTACAGCTGACACTTCTTGCCAGGAGCAAGAGCAATGTAGCTGTTACACCTTTGCTTTGCCCATGATGGGAACCATTTCTGCTTAGCCCCTTGATGGCCAACCTCCACCGCAGCCCCCCGCAATGAGTTAGGAGAAGTCCCTCCGTGCTCCACACAGACAAGAGTGCTCCGTTGGAGGTATATGGAGCCGGGGGGGCCTAGCAGCTGGGCACAGCACCTTGAAAACTAAAAGCCTCTCTTCCCAAAGCTCTGAGCCGCAGAACCACGACAGAAAAGGAGTGCAACACTGGAGCATTCATTTACAGGATGTATTTATTACACTGTAAAAAGTCCATTGGATTTGTAGCCATTTACTCTATATGTACACTGGTTGTACTCCCACCCCAACTGTAGGTTCCTCTCGGTACAGTATACACTGGGTTGGAGTCACGCCCATGCCCCTCCCAGCCACCAGTGGGATTTCCGAGATTGGTATTATTGAGAATTTAGCCAACTAATCGAGAGAGGAGGAAGAACAAAGACGCAGTGCTTGCCAGGCAGCCAGCTCTGCTCTGGGCACG